TCTTCAGTGGAGCTGGAAACAGATGCTCTGTCAGAAGGTCCAGGATGGAGCTGCTCATGTTCTGGGGAGTCTCCCAGCAGTCAGGAGGACGTTTATCCAGCTGGCCCTCCACTAAAACATTGCTTAAATGTTATTTTTAACGCACAGTCACAGTCATAGGAATAGAACAAGGCTGTACTAGAGGTAAGGAAAGCAAGAAAATAATTCAGACGTACTGAGGCAGCGATCGAGTAAAACACGAAATAAAAATATAAAGTTCCAACATTAACTTTAACTTCTTTTAAATCGATTGTGAGCAATAAACAAATTACACTGTGAGGACAAAGTGTGACCGCTAAACTACGTGTATCCCTGTTTCACCGCTACGGAACCGTCAGTGGCAGACTTCAGAAAGTCTTGCTAACTTCAGGCAGCTCTCGGTGGCTACTGTGAGTGCTGACACAGCTGTCAAGCTGGGCCACTCACATCTCCGAAATCATCGGAGCAAAATTTTAAGCAGGCTTTATCGTGATAAAATGACCACATATTTGGCGTTTATACCACTACTTTCTCACCTCAAATAATCATAAAACTACAGTTTGTGTCACAATAACAATAGTATTTACAAAAAAGCCTGTGTTACCGTTGAAAGTTTTCTCCTCGGCGTTTTCCACTGGGTGGCGTGAAATGCATTCTGGGATACTTGGCTGTCTGAGGTGCGCACAAGTCCAGTCTGATGCAGCCTCGATAAAGTGGGCGGACGAGAACACATCCGGGCATTTCATCCGTACTTGGTCAGATGCGTACTTAGAATTGGGACAGTATTTGGTCTCAGACGGATGACATTTCACAAGTCCGCAAGAACGCAAGTACGAACAAGTGCGCATATTGAGACACAGCTTTTGTCTCTGGATCAGAACTCTTCAAGGTCGTCTCCACGGCAGCGGCCATGTCTCGTCACCAGCATCAGACGGCAGAGACAATGTTGAGTCTGGGCGGCAATGAAGTCCATGGGCTTACACATACACAAAGACACACAACACACACACCCCCTGGACTCAACGTCTGGTTGGCTCCCCACCCCCTCTCCCTCCCTCCCTCATTACAGTGCAGTATGCTGCGGGCTGATGCGACGTGCTCGTGTGGCTGCGTGCTCCCCCCAGTATCTGAGCTGTGACACTTACCGTCCCCAACACCCTCCCCCCTCCCACACATGCAAGTCTTCGAGTCTTTGTTGTGATGTTTTATTGTGTTGCTTATGTGCTGAGGTGTTTTTTTCTTAGTCCCACACTGTGCCCCCTAGGAGAGCCTAGTTTGGGAATTGCCTTTTTTTCCCCTTGCTTTTCCTCTTGTTTTCCTTTTCCTATGTAATGATAAGCGGCGCTGCTCATGCTGGCTGACCCAACAATTCTCCCTCCTGTCTCCCCCCTGTTATTGGTCATTGTCTTTTTATGTTTCTGGACGGGATGTACCTGTAAACACAATTTTCCTGAGGTACCCTACCAAAGGGATCAATAAAGTTTTATCTGGTCTGGTCTGGTCTGGTCTCGTCCCGTCTCATCTCATCTCATCTCAGCTCAACATCACATTATTTATCACAGAAAGAACCTTTTTTTTTTTAAAAAAAACAAAAAACTACTCATCTGCAGCATGTGGTGCTGTCAGAAAACTGAATGACATCTATGTTCAAAATTGGGATATGTCACCAAAATCACTGTAGTCTTATGTACCTCATTTGAAAATTCACCCACAATTAAGGATTTGCATCAGATTCTGTTAAAAAACAAAAAACAGTGATCCTCAACACAGATGTGACAACGTTTTTGGCTGTTCCCACAGAGCAGATAGGAGACAAGTATAGAAACAATTTAAAATGTAAATACTCAAATATCTATAGCATGTACAGTTGCCACTTTCCCCTGGTATTGGCAACAACTGTAGACACAAATGTTGGACATGATGATTCTGTTCTGAGATTTTTTTTTGTTTTTAAGAAAAGAAAGATCAAGGGGATTTATTTTTTTGTCACTTGACTGTTGGTCACAGCATTTTTTGGTACATTTTTGATTGAAATGGAGAGTAAAGTAATTTTGATGCAATATCATGATTTTAAGCTTGGCATTTGCACCAATCTTGTGACTTTATGATCACATCCTGCACAATAAACAATGAAGTGAGCTTCTTAAATGTTTCAGACTGTCCTCTCCTTTGCCTCCTTTTGTCTGTCCTAACTTCTTGTCTCCTTCGTCTCCCTCTGTAGTGTCTGAGTAACACTCCTCCACTGACCGAGTACTTCCTGCAGAGCTCCTACCTGGAAGAGCTGAACTTCACGAACCCTCTTGGGATGAAGGGCGAGATTGCTGAGGCTTACGCCGACGTCATCAAACAGATGTGGTCTGGGAGGCATTACTCTGTGGTACCACGCGTCTTTAAGGTATTAACATGTTAAACTGACAATTATTCTCAGATGCCTCTGTTCACTTGTGGAATGATAATTAATAGCAGCAACATACATACAAGCAGTGGTTCCTTACTGATGCGCCGCTGTCTGAAAGTGGACTGTGGAGCCTTGAATTAGTTTATATTGTACTTGAGTGAATGTTAAATACATTTACTGAAGAATTTTGCCTAAATGCATTTTTGAGATATTTACTTAATTATTTTCATATAACTGTAAAGTTGTCCTCCAAAAAATGTTAATGTAAAAAAATAGTATTAAAATTGCCAAATACATTTACCAAGTTCATGAACAAAATTCATGGTAGAAGAATGGTTTACAAATATTTAAGTGTATGAAACTATGCAAAATATTATTAAAATGTTTTTAAAATATCAAAGTTTCTATAAGTATCTAATAATGAAATTTAAAAAAAAATAATAAAGTGGCTGAAAAGATGTCTTAAAAATTCAAATCGGGCAGTATTGTGTCTTACAAATATGAACAATTATCAATAAAGTTTCTGGAAAAATTAATAAAACACTGTATATTACTTATTATTTTACAAAATAGAAAAATCTTAAATACAGAAAATAAGAATATATATTAGCATTAAGAAACTGTCTGATGTTTGAAAACTATTGATAAAATGTCTAAAATGCCTGATACATATTGATAAAGTGTCTGAAAAAGTTTATATAGTTGCTTCAAAGATGTTGAAATCTAAGTGTCAGAAAAAATAATGATATAGCAAAAAATTTTCTTTAAAAATATAAATAAATATCAAAATTATTAATGAAATGTCCAAAAATATTCTTTAAAATCCTGAAAATAATAATAATCATAATAATCATAATAATCATAATAATAAATTGTTGGATGAATGAATTATAAACTTTCAAAAAAAATGTATTGTTGAAAAACAAATCATAATATATTAAGATTATATATTAATATAAATTCCAGAAAATAATAGAAGAATATCTGAAAAATATTACTACTGATAATTGGGTAAAAACTGCAAGTGCAGAAGACATGTTGTCTGAACTTGGTCCTGGAAACAGCCTCTACATGTCAGAATAAGTGGAGAATCTGCTTTAATATCTCTTCCCCCACCATCTCCAACGAGGACAAGGTCAAAGCTGTCTTTTTCCCTGAATATCAAATTCTAGTAAGAACAGTTTGCAGTTTGAGACAGTCCGAATCTTGTCTACCATCAAAGATTGCAGTAACCTGATTTTTCTATTTTTATTTTTTTAAAATGTGACTCTTTTATTATCTTGTCCTGTTTTTTGTGTTTGTGTGCAGACGAAGGTGGGTCACTTTGCGTCTCAGTTTCTGGGCTACCAGCAGCACGACAGTCAGGAGCTGCTGTCCTTCTTGCTGGATGGGCTGCACGAAGACCTGAACAGAGTCAAAAACAAAGAGTACATCGAACTACGGGACGCTGATGGGCGACCAGACCAGGTTGGCTGCTCTGACTGTGCCTGAACACATTGTAACTTAAAATTTTTACATTTTGCCTTTTGAACGCTCACTGTGGGTTCAATTTTCACTTAAATGTGAAGTCCTTGAACTCTATGAAAACAGCACAACTGTGGCTACAAGTGGGGAGAACTCAGACATATATCCACATCACTGTTTTGCACATGTCAAAGTTGCAACAAATGGGAACCTTGGCCCGCCATACTTGCCACACATCAAATTCTACTGATGTTAGAGGCATCAACAGTTGGTAAAATGTCAAATAAAGACTATTTATTTGTAGGAAAAACATGGATACATTCATAGATACACACCTAAACGAGCTTTCTGTTAACCCAGTATGAAATGGTTAATTTACTGAAAGCTGCCTTAATGTATGACTGAAATCTTTCAGTGTGTAAGTTGCTGCTAGGAAATTGTTTTTTTTGTCAAACTCATTTAAAAATGTTGCACTTTTCCCCCCATTTTCTAGGGTAAATAATAAGTTTGGCCTCTGCTGGATCCATTAGACCATTTGGATCTACTGGACAATTTTCACTGTCCCCTCATCTAATTTCAAGCTTATGTAATATTTTTCTGGAGATACTGAATAATTAAAATTACTTCCCAGGTGGGATGTTTTTTTGTTTTTTGATTGTGAAAATCCGTGAAGTTTTGGGTACACAACACTAACAGTGCACTTGTACACTGGGATTAGGTGGAGCAACACCACTATCTGAAATGATACAGAATGAGCTCATGTTTCACTCTTTTTTTTCTCCTCCTTCTTCTTCTTCTTCTTCCTGTTCCTCAGGAGGTGGCGGAGGAAGCGTGGCGTAACCACCGGCGACGCAACGACTCGGTAATTGTCGACACGTTTCACGGCCTCTTTAAGTCCACGCTGGTCTGTCCCGAGTGCCACAAGGTCTCCGTGACCTTCGACCCCTTCTGTTACCTGAGCGTTCCACTTCCTGTCAGCAAGGAGCGCGTCATGGAGATCTTCTTTGTCTCTCTGGACCCATACGCCAAACCTGTCCAGGTAGCTGGCTATATCTGACATTACACGTGCCGCAGACATTAATATCTGGACACAATACGTGTTTTCGTGTGTGTGTGTGTGTGTGTGAGAGAGTGAGATTAATATTTTGTTGTATTTGTGTCTGCAGCATCGTGTTGTGGTTCCTAAAGCTGGAAAAGTGTCGGACCTCTGCATTGCTCTGTCAGAGATGACCAACGTACCGCCCACAAGGGTCAGTGTGTGTGTCTTTTAATGGAATGAAATTGTACTTTTCAGATGGTCGATATGGTGTTTTTATCTATAGATAAGCAAAATAGGCCTTTATCTGCATGCCTTATCAGCCTAAATAAATTCTAAGAAAACATTAAAAGCTAATATTTGCAGCATATTAAATTATTTGAACAACTTGATTTTTTTATACTGAAATCATAACAACAGACTGACAACAGCAGACACCTGCCCATATTCATATGATTACAAAAAATAGAATTATACCAACTAGGGATCCCAGCAGAGTAACTATTGATGAATATAACACAGAGAGGTTAGCCTGCTGTTAGTGAACATTGTTGTATTGAACATTGTTTATGTATGTTCTACATTTTTGATTAAAAGACACTGTTTCAACATTTATTCTTCAGTCGCGATAGGCTGCTACTAAGGATGTGCAACCAGTCAGATTTAGACTGTATCACAGCATGACTACAAAAGGAGGCAGCTGCATCAAAACCAGTGTAGCACATTTTTAAAATAATTTGGAATTGGTGAAAATTTTTTTTTAATGAAGTCAGAAAAACGCTGAGTATCGGATCCTACAAGTGGCAACACTGATAACTGATCTACCACTGACATTGACCAGCCAATTGACCAGGCAGTCTAGAGGTCACAACTCTATTAATGATGTTATTGAAAGACAAACAATTAATCTTTACAGCCAAACTGTGTCTTTGTAAGTTAAAGGAAGTATTTCTGTATCTTTGTGTAACTTCAGCATCCTACACAGTGTGGGAACATTTGTTTTAAGTCTGACTGAACGGGTACACAGAAATTAGGGTCACCAACTGTCTGACTTTATCACTGACACATTCAGTGGCTGGTTTGTTTCCATGTGTCATGCCGATTTGCCTCAAAACTCACAGCTAACTTCTCTGCATCCTTTTAATTCGACTGGAAAAAAAAAAGATTCATATACAAACCATTTTTTTTTGTAAAGCTGCAGGGAGCTTCTGCTTTTTACCTTGATATACACTGTTTTGTCCTTATTTTCCAGAATTTTTACAATAAAGGTGGTGAATGCACAGTTACCTTGAACAATGCAAACACAGTAGTCATGTTAATGTGAAATACAACAGGCTGAAATAAACCAATGTTGTCCTTTAGGTGTGAAAGTACCGGATATGAAAGGCTGACCTCAAGATTCTTTGTGTTTCAGATGGTGGTCGCTGATGTCTTCAATCATCGTTTCTATAAGATCTACAACACTGACGAATCTCTGAGCTGCATACTGGACCGGGATGACATCTTTGTGTAAGGAATACAAAAATCTACTGTACTAGTTTTTGGCCTGCTTTACATGAAAAGAGTTATTCATGCGAAGCCCTGCTGTGAACAGCCGTGAGTGGTTCAGCTTCACTGTATCACCACCATTACCATTTTCACTGCAATGTAAAGTCCTGCACCATGATGGAGGCAGCATAATCATGGCTAGAAGTAGAGAAAACTCAGAAATGCCTTTTGTACAGTAAAAGAAATTTGTAATGCGATATCTCATAAAAAAATAAAAATAAATAAAAAAGAAAAAGAAAATTGAAAGGAATATTTTTTGGTACATTCATTTTACAAACAAAGAAACTTGAATTAACATGTAAAACATGTTGTAGTGCCCAAAGGTGTTACGAATACTGGGAAAAATGTCTCGACATACTTTGAATATTTTTGCGTTTTTAATTTGTTGCTTGTTTCCTTGCTGCTTTGTGTAAACACAGCCTGCAGTTCATCCGAAAAGTTTCTAGTGGCTCCTCAGTTGTAAAGGGGTTAATGGTGGCTTTTCAGGCCAAACAAGATGTATTTTTTGAATCACCCTTCCTTGTGTGAAGCAAAGCAGCTCTTTAACTTGTGTGCAGGTACGAGCTGAATGTGCTGGAGGAGCAGCAGGAGGAGCAGGTGCTGCTGGCGCTCTACCTGAGAGAGCGCTCTCATTACAGAGACTATGGCTCGGGCAGCAGCTCTTACGGCACCTCGCTGTTCGGACACCCATTGCTGCTCAATGTGCTGCGCAGCAGCTGCAGCCGGGAGGCGCTTTACAACCTGTTCCTGCAGAGACTGGCGTGAGCAAAACACATAAAAACTAACTACTGATACCCGTGTGCTCTTTAGAATCACAATGAAGTTACTCTTTAATGCAAGTCGCCATGAAATTATACTGAATGTCACTGAGGTGCTTTTGGTCCATTTGTACAGGCGCTATGTGCGACCTCCAGATCCCTCTGAGGAATTGGAAGAAGAGGACGAGGAGGAAGACGATGAGGAGGAGCTGGACCAGACTCAGACCAATGGCATCAGTGATGGTATCATTTTGTTCTACAGCTACAAGCTTTTCTTTAAACACTTGGCCTCGCAGGCTGCTAAGCTGTTAGCAGCAGATTTCTAGATTTGCAATCAAGTCTTGAGTAGCTTATAAAATTACTTTTTAACCAGCATGTATTTAAGTACTGCTGAGGAATTACGTAAATACGTGTAACTCATAGTTACACGTATTTACGTCTACAATTGAAGAATTTATTGGAAAATTAATTTTAACAATCTGAACTCCAAGCAGTTTCTGGAAACGACACAACTATAGCTAGCTAGATAGCAGAGAGAACTCTACATACTATAGATAATTTAGTACTAACATTTTTCATTTCTATCCATCCTTGCCTTCTATAATCTGCTCTGTGTAAACACATCCTGCAGTTCAGCCTAGTTTAGCCAACTAGTCCCTGAAATTTTGTCACATTTGGCGCAGCAGAGAAGCTGAAGGAACAGAAGGAAATGCAATAAAGTGATTTTATAAGTAGGCCTATTACGATTTTAATTTGCCAACTTAAAGGTACATCAAGGAGAAATTTGCAAATTGATCTTCTTCTACATTTCTTTTAACGCTACCAACACTGACTGTGGGACAGGAAGAGCGTTGACAAAAATATACACACGTGGACAAAATAGTTGGTACTTGAATCTGTTAAAAGTAATAATACATAAAAATTCTATGAAAATTAACCAGTGAAAATCAGACATTGCTGTTCAAAAGCAATGTCTGATTTTCACTGGTTAATTTTCATAGAATTTTGGTTCAACAGAATTATTTAAAAAAATAAAGTCATGAAACAGGCCTTGACAAAAATGATGGTACCCCTAGAAAATACTGAAAATACTGAAAATAATAGGGACATGATCAATCAAGGTGTGTCCCCTAATTAGCATCACAGGTGTCTACAAACTTGTAATCAGTCAGTCGGCCTATTTATAGGGTTACAAGTAGTCATTGTGCTGTTTGGTGACATGGTGTGTACCACATTAAACATGGACCAGAGGAAGTTGAAGGAGAGAGTTGTCTCAGGAGATTAGAAAGAAGATTATAGACAAGCATGTTAAAGGTAAAGGCTATAAGACCATCTCCAAGCAGCTTGATGTTCCTGTGACTACAGTTGCACATATGATTCAGAAATTTAAATCCATAGGCCTATAGCCAACCTCCCTGCACGTGGCTGCAGGAGGAAAATTGATGACAAATCGAAGAGACGGATAATATGACTGGTAACAAAAGAGCCCAGAACAACCACTGAAGACATTAAAGGTGAACTCCAAGGTCAAGGTACATCAGTGTCAGATCTCACCATCTGTCATTGTTTGAGCCAAAGTGGACTTCATGGGAGACGACCAAGGAGAACACCATTGTTGAAAACAAATCATAAAAAAGCCAGACTAGAATTGGCCAAACTGCATGTTGACAAGCCACAACGCTTCTGGGAGAATGTCCTCTGGACAGAGGAGACAAAACTGGAACTTTTTGGCAAGGCACATCAATCCTTTGTTCACAGATGCAAAAATGAAGCATATCAAGAAAAGAACACCGTCCCTACTGTGAAACATGGAGGAGGCTCTGTTATGTTCTGGGGCTGCTTTGCTGCATCTGGAACAGGGTGTCTTGAATCTGTGCAGGGTACAATGAAATCTCAGGACTATCAAGGTATTCTATAGAGAAATGTGCTGCCCAGTGTCAGAAAGCTTGGTCTCCGTCGCAGGTCATGGGTCTTGCAACAGGATAATGACCCAAAACACACAGCTAGAAACACCCAAGAATGGCTAAGAGGAAAACATTGGACTATTCTGAAGTGACCTTCTATGAGCCCTGATCTAAATCCTATTGAACATCTGTGGAAGGAGCTGAAACACGCCGTCTGGAGAAGGCACCCTTCAAACCTGAGACAACTAGAGCAGTCTGCTCATGAGGAGTGGACCAACATACCTGCTGAGAGGTGCACAAGTCTCATTGACAATTACAGAAATCGTTTGATTGCAGTGATTGCCTCAAAAGGTTGTGCAACAAAATATTTAGTTAAGGGTACCATCATTTTTGTCCAGGCCTGTTTCATGAGTTTATTTTTCAAAATAATTCAGAAGCAATGTCTGATTTTCATTGGTTAATTTTCATAGAATTTTTTTTTGTTATTACTTTTGTCAAGTTATTTCTGTGACCATTGTGGGTTTTTCTTTCATTAACCGAGGGGTACAAACAATTTTGTCCACGTGTGTATATTGTGTTGCCTGTTGCAAATACAGTACACTTTTGAGACTCACTTATAAGTAATTTGCTTCACTATTGGTGGTCCAAGATTTTCAAATGTGAGAATTTGCTGCTTATTTTACATCATAAATATCTACAGTTTTGGACCGTTTGTCAAATAGAACTGATGTTTTTACTGTTTTCTAACATTTTACAAAACAAGTAAAAAACATCTTAAAAGAGAACATTAATTCGTCGCAGGTCTTTTCTAAGCTGCAAGTTTGGTAAACTGTAGCTTTCCTCTGATTGATTCTTTGTAATTTCTCAGATGAGGAGCAGGAAGATGTGGAGAAGCCCGGACCCTCCCAGACAGAACCCTGCTGCAGTGATCCGTCTCCAAATAGCCAATCAGACGGCACTGTGACAACTGAGCCCCAGCCTGAAGTCAACCACACGCTGTTGTCAATGGACCACGGTGACACAGAGACCAGTAACGGGTCCATGAACCAGACTGAGCCCGTCTGCAGCGCAGATCTCAACATCACCAACAGCACTGGGGACTCGAGCAGCACTGGCAACTCGGCCAGCATCGCCGACACCGGAGCCGGGTCAGAACCAACAGCAGAACAGCTGCAGCAGCCCTGCGAGACCACAGAGGAGGAAAATGAAGAAGGCAAACAGGAGGAAGCATGCTCTCCTAGCCCACCAGCCAATGAGCATCCAGCTAAGAGAAGGGCATGTCGTAAGAGGAGAAAGAGTCTGTTCACCATCCAGGCGGTCAACTCCAACGGGACGACTGAGAGAGGGATGGGAGAGGGAGGGAGCGCTGTGTCCTTCAGTTGTGAGTCTGAAAACACAAAAATCTCCACATTTCTGTATTGTAGTACATCAGATAATATATGCCATAATACGTCATATTTGAGTAGGTCATACTATAGTATGTTATTAAAAATGCTAGAAAAATGGGTAAAATAATTTAATTGTATAGTCTGTTATTAAATATATAAATGTGTCCCTAAAAGTCTCCTGAAAATATCATATCATTAAAGATTTCACAAAAATGTCATTGTATAGTATGTCATTACAAATTGCCATACTATTGTTGGTCAAAGTATTATGCTGATTTTCTTTTTATGTATTGGCTCTGCAGCTCAGCCTTATGTGGCCATAGACTGGGACCCTGACATGAAGAAGAGATTCTACAATGAAAATGAGGCTGAGGTCAGTGTGAACATTCATTTATTATTTACACTATATCAAGATATTTATAGTTTGTCACAGACTATTTTTATGGCTAAACTTTTTTACTCAAATCCAATATTAATAATCAGAGTGTAAATTCAATGACAACGCGCTGTATCTTGTCTGATATTAACTGTTTCACTTTAAACATATGAAAGATTTTTTTTCCGTATGCGATAAAATGTTCCTAAAGCCATCACCCTGTTGCACACGATCACAAACATTTCAGTTTTCCTACTCCACTCCTTTGTTCTTCATTCTTCTAATTGTTATAGTGGAACTTAAAAATGTAAAATATTTTGTTCTTTATCCCTTGTTCCGTACAGAAATATGTGAAACATGCCAGTATGGAGGTTCCTCAGCAGCAGACGACGGTTCAGCTGCAGGAGTGTATCGAGCTGTTCACAACTGTAGAAACACTGGAGGAGGAGAACCCATGGTAACACACACAGACCTGCATCGCACTCAGCCTCATTACTGCAGGAACATAGTATAGTAGAGATACAAGCATAGTAGGTCATATTATAATAAGTTATAGTATATTAGGTTATATAGTATGTCATACAATAGTAGGTCATACTATAGTAAGTATAGACGGGTATTATATAGTTGGTCATAGTTAAGGATGTTGGTTCTGCACACCCCCTTGAGCACACATTATACACCTGACTGTGTCTTTTATCACTGCAATTCAGATGATCTTCAGCTTTTAAAAACAATGAAAGCTAAATGGAAAAAGAGCTAAAAGTCAAAATACACACCTACCAAAGAGATTCAACTAAGATCTAGGAAACTCAAACATTCCCATGTTTCCCAGAATTAAAAAAAAATCTCTTTTGAGGCTGCAAAAAATTAGATTCTAAATTATTCTAGTTATCACATGTAATCCTGCTAAAAGCCAACTAGCACGTTTTCACGTTTGTTTAGAATTTATTAATATAGCGCATTAGTTCAAATTAGAAACTAGAACTGGCTCAGCACAAAAATTCTGATTTGACCCGACACACTTGATAATTCGGCTTTAAAAAAAACTGTTTAAATTGTTATTTTCAAACTTTGTTCATAATGCTAAGGGCCGTTTAGAAAAGCGTGATGACACGTGTCTGTTTACAGGTACTGTCCGGTGTGTAAGAAGCACCAGCTGGCCACAAAGAAGCTGGACCTCTGGTCTCTGCCGGAGGTTCTCATTATCCACCTTAAGAGGTTCTCCTACACAAAGTTCACCAGAGAGAAACTTGACAGCATTGTGGACTTCCCCCTCAGGTATATATATACATGGATATACTCGTACAGAGAGGCACACAGCAGCGTCAAGACTGTGTAAACTCACCAGTTGCTTCTGTTGTGATGTTGCAGAGACCTGGACTTCTCTGGCTGCCTCCTGAGGAAAACCGTGTCCAGTGAAGAGCCTCCAAGCCGCTATGAACTCATCGCTGTGTCCAATCACTATGGAGGACTCAGAGACGGACACTGTAGGACCCTGTTGCTCGTGTTTTTTTGTTCAGCATTCATGTGATGAATTCAATTCATGTCACATAGTTCTAGTCATGGTCATGCCAAACTTGGATTTATGAGTGAGTGGCTATAAAGCCATATCCATGTGTTTTCAAGTGCCAGTGGCCCCAGTGCAAAGCTTCACCTCATACAGTTGTGCATTTGTTCCTGCAGACACCAGCTACGCAAGAAACAAGGACAACGGTCAGTGGTATTACTTTGACGACAGCAAGGTGACGTACGCCAGAGAGGACCAGATCGTGGTCAGTATCACACATCACAGACCAATGAATCAAACTTTATTTAGGAATTTAGGTCAGAAAAAGTTTGGCTCATCTTATATTTGAGAATAAGACATGTTCACCAGATCAGGTAGAGTTTCTTAATGGAGCTCTCTCCATACTCGTATCGCAGTTTATGGTTTATTTGTATCGCTAATGTTTCGCGGCTGGTGAGCGCTTTCAGCGTCAGTCAGCGCTACAAGCGTCTGATTAGTCCAGTATAACCTGTAGAAGCTTCTGATGAAATCTCTTCTTGATGAATGAAAACAAGTTTATAGTTTTCCAACAGCTTCACTGCAGAAATAAAAGAAAATCAAACAGCCTCTTGGCTTAAAGCTATATATAATGCCAATTACAAGTTTTTGAGCGTATAGAGTGATGCATTTATTGGTCATTATTCATTTCAAAACATCTGGTGACTGTGCTTTGGCTGCTGCGCAGTCTGTTTCACTGTGGATGCATCCAGCTGTTACCTTTTGAACCTGCTAGGCTTCTATGGCAAAGATGTTCAAGTTCAGGAGTACAGCAGCTTCAATTCAGCACTCAGCCAGTAAAACCATTCCTGCAGACACACTGCTGCTCCACAAACTGCTATATGTAGTCGCTGTTACAACCATTAACAGCATGAATTGGCAGCTGCAGTGACAAATATCCCAGAGCTGCTGAACCAGCTTCTCCTCTAGTTTATACCACCATAGTTCCTCTCCCCAGAGATGTGAGCAGAGGAAGAGAGAGGAGTCAAGGCATCAGGCAATACACAAAATGAGTTGTAGTGTAAAACCACTGGATATGACCTGTAGCATCGTCAGTCATCATATGGCTAGTGAGGAGCATGAGACGTTGTTGTCAAGCTGTCATTGCGGCAAATGGTGGAAACACCAGCTACTGACATTGTCAATTTTAGTTATTTGGGGCTATCCTTGTTATTGTTTAAATTTTGGGGGTAATAAATATTAAACTAATGAAAAGGGCGTTTCTTCTCATCATTATTAGTAATATCAAAGGGAACTTTTACTTATTTCATTAAAATTCAGACCAAATAGGAAAAGCACTCATGTAAATAACAATATCCCTAACTTATTGTGAGTAGTGTACATTTCCTTAGTATTTGGTAGAATTGCCTTTATACTGTATGACTTGGGTCAAAGATTTTGGGTTTCCTTCCACAAGCTTCTCACAATAGTTTGCTGGAATTTTGGCACATTCCTCCTGACAGAACTGGTGTAACTGAGTCAGGTTTGTTGGCCGCCTTGCTTGCAATAAAAAATTCTCTCTCATTATTCTGGCATTTAGCAAATAGAAATAATTTTGGTAGTCCTAACTGATCTAAAACAGGAAAAGTTTAGTCTAATTTAAAGTCAGACAGTGAGAAAAAAAAAAAGGTTATATCTTTTTATACAGTGTATGTAAACGTCTGGTTTCAACTAGGTTGTCGTGAGCACTGTTCTGCTCCTCTGATAGATCATAAGACGCAGCAAAACAATGGACAAATGATGCCGCTGTGCCACATTTAACTGGCATTGCTTTAAAATGACTGCTGCGAAGCAATGATGCATTATATTTATTTAGGCCTGTTGCCTCATCGCATCTCAGGTGGGACAGACTAAGAAATGAGAGGAGAGGTGTGTGACTGCAGCTTTGGAACAGCATAGCTGTCACTGTGAGCCACTGCAGGCTCTAACAGTAACAGCTGGACGTGACAAAGCCCAAACAGTGAGCAAATGTCCAGCCGCAGCTTAATAATGTCGGCGGTTTTAAAATAAATTATCGGTTTATGTTTTGTAAATCAGGTTTAACATCGTTCTCTGTAACATTGTCTCCTGCAGACCAACGCCGCCTACGTCTTGTTTTACCACCGACAAGACAAAATCAGAATACCCACTCTACCCGCCCCCAATGCAAGCCCCGCCTCCTCTACCCAGTCCGACATCACTTCCTGCAAAGATGAGGACGCAGCAGGGCTGAGTGCATCCTCCTACGTCGCCATGGAATAAAACTAAATCAGTTTGTTTGTCTTTGTCAGAACGGCGCAGCGGGCCTTCTCTTCTGTTCTTAGGTTTTTCATTTTTACATTCTAATGACTCTTCAACTGTTTTTTTTTCCCCCTCCCAGTTCCTAGAAACAGGAGAAAGCACATCTGCCAGATGATATCAGCTCTTGCTTTCTTCTCTAAATGCTGAACGTTCACCAGTTTTCTCAGCCCAGTAGGTAACGCTGACACTTTAATCCTCAGGCTCAAAGACTGAACGGTGGAATAACTCACATTAAGACTGTTGATTTGGGCCTAAACTGAATATAGAAATGCAGTCCAGACTCCTTGATATGGTTCCTGTAAGTGTCCACGTTGAGTTAAGCTACAATTTTTACACCATTTAATTTTATTCAATAAATAAATATATTTTAAAAAGTATTTTATTATTATTATTTGATACATCCTAATAGTGAAATTAGAAAAAGATAAACAAACATTTCAATGAAATCGTCCTGCAAAAGGTTTGTGAAATTAAACTTCCGAAAAAAGCGAAGATGTGTATAAAGTCAACAACAAGTGTTGATAAGGCTATTAAGTGAAAATGTGTTTGCTGGAGCTGGCGTTTTCTCTGATTGGCAGGTATGGTCAATAATAAAAAAAATTGTAAACATTCAATTAGGAAACACATTTAAAAAGCATTTTTTTCCACAAATAAATAAATGAAAAATGTAAATGTTGTTTATGACAATGCTGTCTTGAAGGTAAGTAAGTCACTATTTGGAGAAGGACTAAGAAAACCATACAAATGCACATTTCTTTGCATCATTAAATTTAAATATTGTCAAAACTTGTAATAATTCCAGTGGCACTGTTGGGGTTCCATATTGCAGCTGAGCAAAAAAGGAAATAGTTTGGGTATTTGCTGATCTTCAGTGTTAAAAATTCTAGAATTAAAAATCCAGTTTTGACTTTAATTGTAAAAGAGAAATTATAGCTATTAAATAAGAGTGTAGCTAAGTTGTTAGGAATGACCTTAACATTCTTCTGCAGACAAAATAAGTAACAGATAAATGACTTCTTCTTGCTTCTAAGTGCAGATTAGTTTCTGTATAACAGAAGCAAACAGCCGTCAGGGACGAGAAATGAATCTATCTTTGTATATTTTGGTTGTTTTTCTTCTATTTATTTTTTTAATGGAATAATAATTGCAGCTGTCACACGACTACAGTTTTTCTTGAATGATTTGAATGATTGACTGGTGCAGGACATTGAGACGCTTATTTTTCATATTTATGACAAAACTCTGTATTCAGGCAGAAACTTTACTTGAGCTGTTTGATTTTTCCGGTCTGTGCAGCGTGATGGATGCAGGCCGAGATTCCTCTGATTTTTAAACCAGCTCTGTGTACAGTATTTTTGTATTGTAAGTAATGTAATATTATCATTCCTGGGTCGAGCAGGAGGGAAGCTTGGGCTGATTGATTTCTTTGGTCTTCCCTGTCAAATATCAGATGAAAATATTTTATTGTACTTTCATTCTTTTGATATGAATAAAAAGGATGATTATTATCGCAACAGGATGTGTGAGAGTTGTTGTGCTTTAACAGGGCTCCAGACTAATGTTTTACACTGGGAGATGTAACAGTTGTAAATATGCCCTCTGGGTCAAAATCAACCTTTTTCTGAATGTATTAAATAAGATACTGTCTCGAAATGTGCATATATAGTATGTCACAAAAGTGAGTACACATTTCTGTAAATATTTTATTATATCTTTTCATGGGACAACACTGAAGAAATGACACTTTGCTACAACGTAAAGTAGTCAGTGTACAGCTTGTAAACCAGTGTAAATTTACTGTCCCCTCAAAATAACTTAATAAACAGCCATTAATGTCGAAACTGCTGGCAACAAAAGTGAGTACACCCCTAAGTGAAATTGTCCAAATTGGGCCCAATTAGCCATTTCCCTCCCCGGTGTCATGTGACTCGTTAGTGTTGAAAGGTCTCGTGTGAATGGGGAGCAGGTGTGATAAATTTGGTGTTATCGCTCTCACACTCTCTCATACTGGTCACTGGAATTGTGACATGGCTCCTCATGGCAAAGAACTCTCTGAGGATCTGAAAAAAATAATTGTTGCTCTACATAAAGAAGTGCCATTTCTTCAGTGTTGTCCCATGAAACGATATAATAAAATATTTGCAGAAATCTCACTTTTATGGCATGCTATATCTCTAAATATGTGAAATGTGTGCAGTGCTCTTTGTTTAACCCTTTGAACCCCATAACTTGCTGCCAAGTTTGAAAGGCATGTTATCTGCCCCACTTATAAGCCTTAACCAACAAAAACAAAGAATAGACATAAGTTTATATTTCAACAGTTCTTTAACTACTTGTATGACTTCTGGTTCTGTTGGAAAATGAACCAACTCTAAACTTAAAATCAAGTATTTTGTGTATAATCACTTTTTTTTCCTTAAACACGTGTCATTTGATAACTAGCTACAGAAAAAAACTAATTCTGTAAAAAACACAAAATTCTGCGATGCAACCATGAGGGTTCTGAGTGACTCAGCTGAGCCCAACACTAATGGATAAAAAGGCAGAATTGTATTTAAAAACTATATTTATAGCTTTTCCAAATAAAATCTAATGATATTTTGCTGCCTTTTCATCTTTACTAGTTAATGCATTAACTAGCGAAAAGACTATTACATTTACTCTGCTGATGAAAGGCAGCTACTGGCAGCTTTGGGGATGTTGTCTTGCATGTTGACTAGTCACACATCAATCAACAAAAGCTTGCTAGACATTTGCTTTGAGCACTTAAAACATGTTCATGAATTTCAACCAGATTGTGATGCCCAGAACTGTATATATACATTTTATTTCCTCATTCGGAGAAATAATTGGTGGAGCGCTGCCTCTACAGTGTGTGTTTCCCGGGCACAAAGTACACATTTCAAATTCTTTAGACTGTAACTTCCCTACAGTATTACCAACAGCTATGCGTCTATTTATTAATAGCCTACTGCACAGTACACACACATTTGACAGCTACATTAAGGACACAGTCAGGGTTGTAAAGGGGGCCACAACTTACAGATGTTTTCTAAATACCCCATGCAGACTATCTGTAGATGTTAACTAGCTAACTGTGCACCGAGAAGCTTCCGGTCCAGTGACTGCAGCAGCTCACAGGGGTGTGAACAAAAGATTACGTGGTTAAGAGTGATTTACCTTTAAGGTTTTGGAAATGCTTTTCCTTTATCTTAGATTTACCTAAAATCAAGTGATTTTCTCCACCTGCTGCGTAGAGCCCTCTAATTGTCAGTGGCACCAATAACATTGTTTAGTGAGGCTTTGACAGATTTTTGGTTGCATTTAAATTTACCATCACAGCCTGTTTATTCTCTTCACTGTTCAGACAGAACACAGCACTGCTATTAACAGCTACTACAGTCCGACTTGTAGTAAAAGACTCAAGAGACAAGCAATTACACTTGAAGTGATTGCTGCTATTGGCATCATCTGTCTCTGCACTTACTTTAACCCTCAGTTTCCACCCATGTGTGCGTTAACATGTTTGTGCACAAAGACTCCCACCACCACTGAAACGGACCTGCTTACCAGCTTTCATGGGAAAGAAGCTACAATGACAAATCTGGGTGTCGGAAGAGCTGCACGACATATAGACAAAACAAGATGAGAGAATATTAGCCGACCAGTTGAACACAACCTTTGTGCTTTGCACCAAGGACTCGTAGCACAATGTCAGCCATGGATGGTACTTTTTAAAATTCTGTTGTATAATTTTGGATTGCTCTGTATGGTGGTTAAGTTTACACAGAAATAAAATAGTGAACGGTAAATTAGTAGGTAAATTAGAGTTTCTGACATGATAATTCTAATCTGTATTTGATCATTTTTGAGAGAACGAGAGAGAATCTCTTCTGAAACACTTAATTCACAAATTCTAACATATCTCACCCACACAAACAAAATATACACCAAGCGACTGGTGACAACTGAACCAGTGAATCTATTTGCAAATGGAGACAGAGAGAAAGCTCTGGTAAAAGATAATAACATTCAGACACAACTTGCTGGATTTTCTTTCTGTCATAATGTTTAATAAAAGCATCATCATCTGTGTTATAAATAATTCTCAATAATCACAAGTGATTAATATCTGTTGTTTTTTTTTCTGTCTGAAAGTTTACACCTTGCATAACTTCTACACACTTTGAATTTGGAGGCTCATAAAAGGTAAAAAGTGAATTAAGTGCCTGACGTAGTGATTTCAGACACAGTTCAGTAGATTTCACTCTAGTACTCGTGCAAACTGTGTTCCAGAACCATCGTCGAACCTGAACGTTCTTCAGAGCAGGTTCTGTGGTGAGGAGAGCTCTAGAATCTTTCACAGGTGCTCCAGAGCTCGCAGAGCCTTGCTGCTCTAAAACATGGTGGACTTGATGTCTCTGCTGAAAAAGGTTCCGAAGTTTAGGTCTCTGGACATTAGCTCCTCCTCCACGTTCTCCAGCGCCCACTTGTGTTCCACGATCTCCAGTGCCTCCCATTCGCTCTGAAACAAACAAAGGGAGGGTGTGAACTGGGTCCTCTGGTTGGCTGGACATCACAAACATACTCTGTGTATGCAAAAAAATACAAAATAAAAAATGCCCCAAAAATGTAATTCCAGCACAGATCTCAAAGCTTTAACAGATACCAAATATGTCAGGCTGAACATCGGTGAAATGACAGTGGAACAAAAAGCATCTCAGGGCAGATGTAAGGTGGCGATGACAGAAACATCCTCATATTGGTAAATAGACTGCTGCTTGAAAATTGCTTCAAGGGAGCAGAAAAACTCTTGTTGTCCTCTGAGTTTAACAAATCAGTGTTGAATCTCACACAGCAGTTTTTTGGGGTCATTAAGAAGCACCTATCCTGGGGCACCACTATAGCTCACCTGGTGGAGCTACAGGGGCACAGTCCCGATGTGGAGGTCATGAGTTCAAATCTCACTCATGACCCTTTCCCACACGTCCTCCCCCCATTCTTCTCCCCCACTTTCCTGTCTTTCTCTCGCTGCACTATCAAATAAAGGCACAAAGGCCAAAAAAATAACTTTAAAAAAAGAAGCACCTGTCCTGCAGCAGGCACTTTTTTCTTATCCTAAAAAGATCTGTAAAAGAGGGTGTATGAGGGCAGTTCTTGCAGTCAGAGTACAAACCGCCCTTAGATGGCCCACGGGAAAACAGCTTAGTACTTCTTGAACTAAATTTCATAAAGTTTAGATGAAGTTTTTTAACCCGATCTGGTCCTAGTGATTGAATATCTAATGTCTGCCCAACAGAGTCGTAATCGAATACTATTTTGGAGATAATACACACTTTAAGTGCATTACAGTCGTTAAAATCAATCCAGTGTACAGGCTTGACAACCAAACAGCTCTTAATGCATTAAGAAAGAAAACGCATTCATGCATCTCCTCCACAAGCTCCAAAAGAGAGCAAAACCTTGTATTTTCTACATGCATGTCAAAAAGTGTAGTGTAGATTAGCTGTATTATTTGGTTGTGCCACCAGGTGGAGACTGACTGTACATGACAGACATCTATGACACTTAATGTCATCTGGACAGAGTTGTTGTGTTGTTTTATGAAGCATCCTCACACAACTTAAGCCATCTCATTCTGACAGGTGTGTAACAGAACATGCAAACAGAGGATCGGACTTAAAAAAGAGCCAATGCAAAAAATTACAAAAGGTTACAGCTGACCCTGATCCTTGACCTCAGTTCAGGACATCTTTAATATCATTTCTACATTAAGAGTGTTTTTAAACCTCAGATTCTCTGGTTGCAACAGTTTTCAAACAGAATGATCTTATCTGAGAAAGAATCGCCTGTAAATGGTAGGGATTTTGTGCTAATTGAATATTTAAATATTGCATTTGTGTGGAGACGCATATCTTTCTCTTTCCGTCTCTCTGCTTGTATCAGCTCCAGCTGCTGCAGTTGTCACATTAAACTGCCAGAATTCAATGGAGACATTAACCCAGTTAAACCTTAAAGCAGTCAGTTATTTACATGTGAACTTGATGTGACAAAAGGTTTGACAAAAGTTAACATTTCATAACATTTATGTCAACTTTCCTGTGTAATTTAATCAATGAAAGAAGCATTGACCTTTTATCAGCGTCTCACCTTAAAAGCCTTGTTGGGGTCGGGGGGCATAGCCACGGCAGCACCTGTCATCTGGTCCTGCATGACCCGCGACTGGTCAGCAGCTGTGAGATAAAACCATTGAGTCAAACAGGTCATTATGACTTAAAGAGTCCTTCTAGTGTATTTCAGCCTGCCATTATTTCTAATTAATGTGTTTCTTTAGGTCATGTTAATGTTACAAGAAGTCACACAAAGTAAATATTCAAACATACTGATGTGTCTATTCACACATAAACAAACCAGTTTTCAAAGTCAACATGACCCACAGAGCCACAGCAGACACATTAACAGGAAATATGTCCAGTTGACAAAAGCCTGAAGGATCTTTTAACTTACTGTGACATAAAACAACCTTCTCAGAAGCTACACAGCAGTGGAGTTATGTCAGACAGTTATCTAGTTCACAAAAACTTTCCTGTACCAACAACGAGCCTCATTCTTGACTGTTTTAGATTTCCTGTCCCCAGATGGTTTATGCTGAAAATCCCCAGCAAAAAGAATCTGTCTGTTTTAGTTTAGGATCATTCTGAAAACAGTTTGACCTAAAAACATTCTGGAAATAAGAAAACACTGCAGAATCTAGCACAAGTTCTTTATTTGTCAGTTCATGAATGAGGCTCGGTGTTTCCACTATATTGATCTGGGGAATTAAAAGTCATGATGTAATGAAATGCATTTCTGTATTTTCACTTATGGAAAATTGTCAAACAGAGCACAGGCAACTGAAGAGTCAGGAGTCAAACAAAAATTAAACCCACCGTTGTCCTGGCCCAGAATGAGGTTGTACATGCTCCTCAGCCCAAATACATTCAGGAAGTACCAGGAGGCTGAACTCACCCTGCACAGAAACAATCAGTATGAAATAAATACTCACATGACTAGATACAGACAGCATCTACTGCATAGGCATGAATGTTTAACTACACCCACTGCGATGGAACTATGAGTTTATGCAGGTTATTTTTATTTACCAGCTTAAGTCTCGGGTGTGCTGTTTTTGAACACTGTGACTTAAACAACAATACGGCAAATTTATGAATTTTAAGATTTTTACGAATTTGTCTCAAGATGACAGTGACACGAAAGAGAGACTGAGGAAATGTGTGACGAAGTAATTCTGAGGCTGACAGCGATCAATGACTTTTCTACTGTACTTTCTTTTTTTTTGTTTTCAATCAGCCTTGTTACAGGCATTGTTCAGAACAAAGCATTTATGGTACGGATTTGTGTATGTTACCAGTACATAATTCATTAAAAGAAAAAAAATCTTTCTGTGTAAATATCTCATGTTACAACGTGGACACCTGTGGCTTATAGACACGAACGGCCTATATATGTACAAATGTCTTTTTCTTTTTAAAGTTAGTGGGTGCGGCTTATATTCAGGTGTGCTCAATAGTCCGAAAATTACGATGTGTTATCTGTGTCTCATACAGAGAACACACAGACTGTATGGATTCATATGTGCTGTGACAAAATATTTCACTAAATTGGCTCGACATGTAGAAGTATTACCTCCTCACTTATTCCTCTCCATATTTCTTTAAACTGGACAGTAAAAACCAATGGCTATGCATGGCTGCTGTAAAGGTTCTTACGATCCATAATGAAATGCATGTCCTTGTGTTGAACAACAATTCATATTATTAAATACATTTATGGACAGAAAGCCAATCCATGTGGAAACAAGATGATAGTTTTGTTTGTATGACTGACTGCTTTCTCTGTTTTGCTGTGTTCATGGTTTACTGAGCAGTGGCGGGCAGATGTTTTACCAGGAAGCATCCAGTGACAGCAGGTCTATTCCTCTCTGTAACATCGGCTTGAACCTCAGAGTCAGAGGGAAGGGCACCTTTGCTGCAAGACAACAACACAAACATCATAAACAGTCACTAAGTAAATAACAGGGATAATGAAAAAATACAACACAAAATGGCAGTGGTTGGTTTTCAAGACAAAATATATTTGATGATTGACATGTTTACTATTGTGTCATGAATGTAAATTAAATGATTGAAGCCAGGATCAGTGTGCTGTGAGTACAAACAACATAAGATCCAAAAATACAGAGGAAAACAAAGCATCTTTCCCAATTTACAGAGCACTGTATCGGTGCACTTAGAAATGAAGGCACTGGACAAATAAATACTAAAGACTTAATTTAATTTCTACCTTCATGATAATATATCATATATTCTGCTCTTTGTGGTTTCTCCTGTTTCTTTAGTGTGTAATATTTTTGTGTTTTTGTGCATGTAAGAGGTCTGCAAACTTACAAATCCCAAAGTCAGTGTCAAAGAGAGTTATTCTCTCCCACAGAAAGCACTGCTTCTTACCTGACTGAAACATTTCATTTGAATTTCACACTTTTTTCCTGTTATCTACGTCGCCATATAATGCGTTATGCAAATGCATTAGGTGGTAAAAAATAAAAAATATTGCTGTTTTCCAGCATATCAACAATGACTCATCGAGGAAGGAAAGAAGGAATCATATTTGTAGACTGATTCTGATGCTTCAGTTCCTCGATACATTGGGAAGAATAATTGTCAATTTATGTGTAAACTACCTAATAAACAAAGGAAATAACGGCACTGTCTGTTACACAGTAGATGAGTTTCTGAATATCTTCATGCTGTCAGGAATTTTCCAAAAGCTCAGTTTTCAGTGACTTAAAACTGCATTTGAGTGGGTAAGAATCCAAAATAGAAAGAAAAAGCTACGTTTCAATTCATACGTGTGTCCTGTGGACAAGGCCTGAGACAGAGTGAGAAGAGGTCTTGCAGCAACGTACAGTATTAGAAAAGTAATGTGTTATTTTGAACATTAAAGCATGTGAATACGCAGAATATGAACTCTATGAAGTCTGGAGACTGTGCAGCTCTTCCTTCAGTGTTGTTTTTTTCTTCTTCTAAAGTTTTGGGTTATAATTCTGCTAAAGGATAAAACTCTGACCAAACAGCCTGTTATCCTTTATTACTTGAATTTTTCTCACCATTCTAAAAGCAATACACAGTAAACTCCTTCCTGTATCTTAAGTGTCTGCATCAGTGTTACGGCCCTTGGGCCCGAGTATTGGTGTGTCGTTTGTGTGTGAATTCCTTTCAGGTGGTGCCCAGAGGGAGTGGCCAGGTGCAGCTGCTCTGCACTCATCAAGAGACGATTGAAAAGCTGAGCCAGCCTGCTCATCATTGCCAGAGAGCCAGATTGGCAGATGGAGCAGGGTGGCGTTTGTGGTGTTGGGCCTGAATTCAGCGACTCTGAGGACTCTGTGGTTGTTGAGTTGTTTGGTGACCTTAGGATCGGCTTTGTTTCCAGGGAGCTTGCTCTGGTGTGCAATTTTTGTTTTCCCTTTGTTTGTAAAATAAACCTAGTTTTTGTTGAACAAACAGTTTCCTGGTCCCTTTCCCCAGTTTTCATTTCACTCTTGTTACTCTCCTCATCCCCTACCTCACGGGGACGTAACAATCAGGGTTAAAAGGAATTCAATTTTTGTTTTTTTTTTCTTATCTATGATTTATAGAATTCTAACACTGTCATATTGCACATAAGACTTCTTTTGAGTTCTCTCTACTTCTAGCCCTGACTGTTCTGTTTTCATAGAGGTGTAGGTCTTTATACTGCCGTGAAAAATGAGCCCACAGTGTGACAGGAGCAAAAACTGCTTTGGGTTCAAAGGGTTAAACCAATTCTTTCAAATCACATAGCTCAAACTTTTTGGCTTTCACATTTGTGAGACAGAACATCAGGATCAGAGCAAACTGCAGTGTTTTCTTCAACCAACAACTTTATACAAACTAGTGCTGAGAATTTGCTTTGCTCCCTCATTATATTGTTTAACGCAGAACTCGTATGACTTAGCAACACAGTTTAACATTGTCATTTTCATATTTATATGACTGGCAGCTAGTTTGGTACACAAGTTGTGCTTTTGGCATGACAAATCCTTAGAGTGGTAGCTTATTTCCTGAGGTTAATATGCACAGTGTATACACAGCATGTATCAGCCATACCCAGAAAAAAAGAATCATTTTTCTTCATCTTCATGGATGTTAGCAGTATAAACATAATGATGATTGGTGAGCAAAGACAAAGAATAAACAGTGAAGGACATTTTTCATTATTCAAGTAACCAACATAACAACGGGTATTACCTTTTAAAAACTAAAACTGTGTGTGACAGAGTTCACAACTGACAGCCGCAGAACTTACTTATGACAAATCCAGAGAACGCCCAGTTGATCCATCCACCAATCATAATCATGGGCAGGACATTGGTCAGGTTCCCCTTCATCATGTCCGTCAACATGCTGCTGTCTGAAACAAACGCACACGCGCTAATGTAGCTGGGAATCATCTCAACACTAACACAGGCAACAACAAAAAAAGGCCCTCCTTCACACACCCCTCTGATGCAGCTGGGCTTCAGAGAGTTAGAAATGGCCATCATTCTGACATTTTATGCACAACACAATCTAATCAGTTAGCAAATAAAATCACTGTCAGACATGTTGACACTAAATTAATTGCTGGCTGCAGCCTTACAAGACTTCTAGGATTGATTAACACAACTTTACAACAAATAAGTTGAAAACAAAGTAAATGGTGCTCCAAAAACTCAGGGCTCCAGACTGCGACCAAATGGTCGCATATTGCGACTAAAATCCGAGACAGTGCGAGTAAATTTTTCATCTACTCGCGCATGCGCGACCAGTAAATTTGCCGATTTTTT